GAATTGGAAGAGAGATTCAAAGAATTGCACAGATATATACACAGATATCAGTAATTGTGGGAAACTGAAAGAACCGACTTAAGTCCCGGAGTATCGTTATCCGCCATTTGACCGGGGTGAAGAAACTTGCAAAAATCACTCAAAAAGAAACAAAAATAAAATAAAATAAAATCAATATTTATATAAGAAACAAAAATAAAATAAAATAAAACAAAATAAAATCAATCTTTATATACAGGATCACCCAATTCAATAGAGTTATGTTCAACTGAAAAATTGTCAAAGTAAACTTTCAGACGATGTCCATTTACCTTGAAAACATTGCCATTCTTTGGATTCTCGATGTCATAGGCCCCATATGGATACACATGTTTTACAATAAAAGGACCACTTCATCTTGATCTTAATTTTCCAGGAAATAAATGCAGTCGAGAATTATAAAGCAAGACTTTTTGACCAACATTGAAGGTTTTTCTCTGTATTTTCTTGTCATGAAATTCTTTTATTCTTGCTTTATGAATTCTTGAATTTTCATATGCATCATTTCTTATTTCCTCAAGCTCATTTATTTGTAATTTTCGCAGTTGACTAGCATCATCCAGATTTGAATTGAAAGCTTTAATAGCCCAATAAGCTTTATGTTCAAGTTCCACAGGCAAGTGACAAGGTTTTCCATAGACTAGTCTATAAGGTGACATACCTAATGATGTTTTATAAGCAGTTCGATAAGCCCAAAGTGCATCATTAAGTCTTAAAGACCAGTCTTTCCTATTAGGGTTCACTGTTTTCTCCAAAATATGTTTGATCTCCCTATTAGCAAGCTCTACTTGTCCACTTGTTTGAGGGTGATAAGGGGTGGCAACTTTGTGTGTGATTCCATATTTCTTCATTAAGGACTCAAATGGCTTGTTGCAGAAATGTGTTCCACCATCACTTATTATGGCTCGAGGGACTCCAAATCGACTCAAAATATTTTCTTTCAAAAACTTTATCACTGTTTTGTGATCATTGTTTCGACTTGAAATTGCCTCTATCCATTTTGAAACATAATCTACTGCGACTAATATGTATAAGAAACCAAATGATGGAGGGAATGGGCCCATGAAATCTATACCCCAACAGTCAAAGATCTCAATGACAATAATAGGGTTTAAAGGCATCATGTGACGTTTTGAAATAGATCCCAACTTTTGACAATTTTCACAAGACTTGCAGAATGCATGTGAGTCTTTGAACATGGTGGGCCAGTAAAATCCACTTTGTAAGATTTTTGCAGTTGTCTTTCTTGATGAGAAATGGCCCCCACATGCCTCAGAATGACAAAATTTAATGACACTATTTACCTCATTGTCAGGAATGCATCTTCGAAATATTTGATCAGGACAATATTTGAATAAATAAGGATCATCCCAATAAAAGTTCTTCACTTCGTTCAAAAACTTTCTTTTATCTTGGGTATTCCAATGAGCTGGCAATTGTCCTGAAACAAGAAAATTGACAATATTAGCAAACCAAGGCATTGTAGAGACAGAAAGCAAAGATTCATCAGGAAAGTAGTCATCGATTGGTGTGAAGTCAGTTTTCGAATCTGTTGTCAATCTTGACAAGTGATCTACGACAACATTTTTGCTGCCTTTCTTATCTTTGATTGTGATATCAAATTCTTGAAGTAATAAAATCCACCGCACCAATCTAGCCTTGGAATCTTTCTTAGAAAGAAGATATTTCAATGCTGCATGATCACTAAAAACAACAACAGGTGAGCCAACAAGATAAGATCTGAATTTTTCACATGCAAATGCTACTGCAAGTAATTCTTTTTCAGTGGTGGTATAATTCATTTGAGCACTATTTAAAGTTTTACTTGCATAGTAAATTACATAAGGTTTCTTATCTTTTCTTTGTCCCAAAACAGCACCTACGGCATAATCACTAGCATCACACATTATTTCAAAAGGTAATGACCAATCGGGAGGTTGAATGATAGGAGCACAAGTAAGCAAGTTTTTAAGTTTAACAAAGGCTTCTTCACAATGTTCAGTCCATTCAAAAATAGTATCTTTTGTTAGAAGGTTACTTAAAGGCTTAGATATTACACTAAAATCTTTGATGAACCTTCTATAAAAACCAGCATGTCCCAGGAATGATCTAACATCTTTAAGAGATTTTGGTGTTGGCAAGTTTGCAATTAACTCGATTTTAGATTTGTCAACCTCAATTCCTTTTGATGAAACAATGTGACCAAGAACAATGCCGTTTGTTACCATAAAATGACATTTTTCCCAATTCAGCACAAGATTCTTCTCTTCACACCTGGTTAAAACCTTTCCTAAATTAGTCAAACAATCATCAAATGAATCGCCAAAAACAGAAAAATCATCCATGAAAATCTCAAGAAAATGTTTAACCATATCGCTAAATATAACTTGATATCCAATAAAAAAATAACTAAGATTAAAATATATAATGTCTCAGCATAAATCATGTATTCAATTGTATTTTATAATTTTTTTAGGATAAATTTGTTGTTTAATCAAATGATAATCCATACTAATAAATAATAAGGAAAAAAAATATTATTAATAAAAATAAATTAAATAAAACCATAAAACTCAGCTATCAAATAATTTATTATTGAATGATAAAACTAATTAAAAAATAAAAAAAATTTAGATCAACTTGGATTACTTTGCTAGCCTCACAATCATGATACAAGGTGAGGAAAGTAAAAAAAAAACACCAAGATGAGTCTCTAAAAAATTAAATATTAAAAAAAAAATTAATTTTAAAAAAATCAAAATCAATATGTATAAAGCTATTCCATTAGAACTTGTTCTTCGTGTCAAAATTAGAGCTTAAGAAGGACGAAATACACATTACGACTGGAGGAAGTTTTGGCTTAAAGATTATTCATTGATTAACTATTTAACTATAAAAAATCAATGTAAATAAAAATTTGTACTTTCTCTATTTTTTAAAAGAGGGAGCACTGTCTTTTTAAATCTTTAAATTACTGTATCACACTTAAAATTTTAAAAAATGACCTTGGATCTCTTGTCCTTATAGAAATTTTATTTTACTATAGATGGTGTTATGACTTTGTAATAATTCCATTGTTGTTATCATAAAAAAAAATTAACCTTAATTATGGGGCTTAATAATAATTTCATATTAGTTTTTTTTGTTATTATCATATAGTCCTAGAATAAGTTTTATTTTTGTCAAAATATAATAATAAAAAAAAAATATTAATACATACATTCCACATGTGAAAAGTTTTATCTTTTTTTTTTAGATTAACGTGGGTGTCCGGGCCAGCTTGCACGCACCACGACTAATCCCACGGACTCTGAAGTTAATGACCATGTAAACCTCCAGTGGCTATCATATGAGCAACTAAGGACTCGAACCTGAGACCACAGAAGGAGCAAACCCCTTAATCCCAAGTTTTTACCATTTGACCACCACCTAAATGGTTAATTTTATTCTTTTTTTTTTAGTTTTATCCTTTTTTGATTACACATGTAGTTGACTATAATAGTCATAGGCATGTTTTTACTATATCATTTGATTTGTTTTAACATCTTTTTTATTTTATATATATAAAATAGTTTGGTCTAATTTAATATTGATTTACTTTTCTTTCTTTTCTCACTCGTACCTCAATTTGTGTGCTATTCCTTTAAAAAATCACATAAACCCTTTAATTTCTTTCCCCTTCATATTTAGTTATTTTCTTTTATTTGTAATTTTTTATTTCAAAAAATTATTTCACATTAAAAATTATTTTCAATTTCATCTTTTTTTTTAATTTTTTTATCTTTCATATTTGGTTCTCATCCTTTAATTGCTATTTTTATAATACAAGCAATTTATAAAATTGATTTTTTTTGCACTTTTATTTTCCTTTGGTTTTTTTATTAGTTTGATCTTTATTTTTTTTATTTTTTTTTGTTATAACACGGATTTTATGGTTGAAAATTAGATTTTTTAATTAAGTCTGCATTTAAGATTTTATTTTTTATGATTTGAAAATATTAACTCAAGTTTATAAAATTTTTTCAAATTTATTTTAATTTTTATATTATTAAATTATTATTAAATTATCCAGTCAAATCTTCTACTTCTTTAAAAATAATAGCATTATCTTAACATTTTTCTTTTTATGTCCACAAAAATTTTCCGCTGCCGGTGTTATTGTGTCCTTCAATTATATAAGTTTATTAGAATTATTTTTTTATTTTTTTTCAGCCTTCAATAATTAATTTATCATCTTTAATTCAAATATGCTGACCTTCCCATCAAGAGGTTTAATTTTCTTTTTTAAAGAAAAAATAAAAAAAAGAAAGACAGAAACCGTCTCAAGAGAAATGCGTTTGGAAGAAAAATGAAAATTACAACTTTCTAAGAAACGCGCTTCCGGAAGCAGTCATAAATCAAATCCGTTCAAAGTAAAAGAAGCGTGGAGGACACGGCGTCTCTGGTAGTTTACTTGTGAAGCTTCTGCCTTCAGTTTACTGCTAAGAATTCGAAATTGATAATTCCCGTTCTGCCATGGTCATGGAAATTTGGGGACAATATATATAATAATATTTATTTATTTATATGATGAGCATATATACTTGTCAGCTCACCATGCCTATAACCTAATACTTTAGAATAACTGAATATGCTCCAGCTAAGTGGTCCCCACAAGCCCTTCAAAGTTCAAAGAAGAGCAGCCAGCCATAGCGGAGTAGATCCTTCATCAATCATCTCCTCCCGACAAGCCCCTGCTTCCTTCTCAAACATTGACTTCTTCTGCATCTTCGTTTTTTAAAAATATTCGATTTTTTTTATATTTTTTTACTTAAAATTATATTTTAATGTTTTTAAATTATTTTAATATATTAATTCTAAAAAATATTACAATTTAAGAAAAAAACAGTTGTCACGATACTAAATAAATGGTCATCCATTTCGCTCTCACAAACTTTAACTCGACAACCAAGTAATAAATTAGTCTTATGACGAATCAATCAACCATGAAAATATCAAGTCTTGAATGAAAACCACTTGTAGAAAAGTTAAAAGGCAGATAAGAGAATCTCTCCTGAAAATCTTCGTCTTCTTCCTTTCCTCTCCACCAAAACAAACCCCAATTTCAATTTCCTGAAAAAAAGAAGAAAAGGGAATAAAAGAGGGAAGTGAAGTTCAAGTCTCCATGGACAGACTGGTAAAGGCAGACGTGAAGGAAGTGGAGATAGCATATAAGGGAAGTCAAAACTGCAGCACAACTTTCAGATTAACCAACCTTATGCACACCATGTCTGTGGCAATCTCTTTGTCCACGACAAACCCCTCTGCTTTCTCTTTCGCACAGCCTTTCTCTATATTACCACCTTTGTCTTCCTCATCTTACACAATTGTCCTCTCTCGGTCATCCGAACAGCCTCCTCTGTCTTCTCCTCCTGATGCCATCTCTGTTAAATCATCCATGCTACCTACAGGCAAGGCTCATCAGGATGAACTCCGCCGACTGTTTTCAAAACCTGGACCCCATATTTTTAGAGACGCCACCATCCCTGTCTACCTCGTGGGTCCCCAAGTTGCTGAATATATCATCTCCAATCACACCCAAATTACTGATGTCTCCGGTTACTTCAACAGGGCTATTTGTAGATGTACCGGCTCCCAGATCACAGGACTGCTCGAATCTGCTGTGCCATCTGGTAATCTAAATTTGGTCACTAGCTTGATTGATCACGGTGGTAATGTAAATTGCAAGGATTCAGAGGGACGGTCCTTGATCTCTCTAGCTGTTCAGGCTGGGCAGATTGATGTAGTTAAGGTTTTGATTGCTTCTGGATGTGTAATTGATGGCTCCATTGATAAAGTATTGCACTATGCAGCGGCTATAAATAGAGTGGATTTGATGGTTGTTCTGTGTGATAGTTTCGAAAACATTGAAGTAAATTCAGCTGATTTACGCGGTAGAACTCCAATTCATGTCGCTGCAAGCAGGGGCCATGTTGAAGTGATTAGGTTTTGTGTGAGTGCTGGAGGGAAAACTGGGGTTTTGGATCATGACGCGTCGAGCCCGCTTCATTTGGCAGCACAAAAAGGGCACTTAGAGACTACGGAGTATTTATTGGATTGTTCAGATTATTCTGTCAAGCATTTAGTGAACAAAGAAGGAAAAACTGCTTTCTCTATCGCAGTTGATAATGGACATTCGCATTTGTATGATTTGTTGCATATGGGAGATGTTTTGCAAAGAGCAGCTAGAGTAGATGATGTGAATGGTATCAAGAGTTGCCTTGCAGAAGGGGCAGAGGTTAATAGAAGTGACCAGAATGGATGGACACCTTTGCATCGAGCTGCCTTTAAGGGAAGAATTGAGAGCGTTAAAGTGTTGCTTAATCACGGAGCTCAAGTTAATGCTGTTGACAATGCTGGGCACACACCACTTCATTGTGCAGTTGAAGCAGGGCATATGCAGGTTGCTCTGTTGTTAATTGCTCACGGAGCTAGTGCAAAAGTGAAAAGTCTCAAGGGGATTGTGCCTTTGAATATGGATTGCTTTAAGAATCACCCTTCTCTAGTCAAGCCCTTGTGTCAAGAAAAAAAGAAAAGTGAAACTGAGGTATCTGTTTGCTGATTTTCTCTTGCATTTTTGTAATATGTACATACTCTTACCGAGTTTTGGCTGGGTATTGTGAGAGATAAGCCATGGTTGGAAAGGGAGGGAGTGCTCTGCTCCACTCCTGTCCAAGTCATTCTCTCGATTATGTGGAAAGTATGTGGCCCTCAGGCCTCAATTCTCTAATTACAAATTTATCAGCAATCATGAAAACGAATTGAGCTTTGGCTTTCATAGTAATGTTTCCTTTACTTTTGCCATGGATTGATGCGGCCTCCGTGAAGAGTGTTCCCGTTTTTTTGTGTTTGTCGATCTGCCTCAAAACTCAAAAGTTCCTAGGTAATTTCAGTCAATTGCGGGCATAGAAAAACTTGACTAGGGCAGATGTATTTGTTTGGTCGAATCTCGGTTCGCTGGGAGTAACTCCCGGCTTTCCGACCGATTTGAAGATATATAGGTATGTGTTTTGCTATGGTTTCTAAATAAAATTGAAGTGGGTATGTATCATTTGGATGATATCTTTCTGCATAAACTTTTTGTAGGAGTTAAGGATGGAATGACATTTGTTTATGATCGTTAAAACATGCTATTAATACAATTAAGGGCGCACGTAGATGCAACTCAATAGAGAATTTTCAAATTAATAGATTAATTATGTGTTAAAAGTTTATTGAAATAAGTAAGGTTTACGGACAAAAGCGGAGCCTTGCGTGGGGCTGCAGCCCAGGCAGGGTAATAATTATATATATAAAAAAAACCTTCTCCTTCCACTAGGCCAGTGTCAACCACATCCTCATCGTCAAGCTCTCCTAGCCCAAAGCCAGTGACAATCACATCCTCGGTGCCAAATTCTCCAGCCACTAAAGTTGTAACCACCAGTGCAGCTCCTGTGCCAAGCCCTACACCACCTCCAAGAATCGTCAAGCCTACAGCTCTAACCCCACCCCAATCACCTAAGCCTAAGCCTACTGCGCACTCCACCACCTTCTTCTCTAACACTTCCACCTTCCCGAGTAAAATCTGACGCAGATCTCGAACCCAAGATTCCATTAGTAGCAGAGCAAAAAACCTGTGTTGGTTCATAAGATTATTGACAAGCCTAAGGAGGCAGGTGATTCGCTGAGAGCCTTTGCAGATAGTCTCAGCTCTAGCATTGCTCATCTTGCAAAGCACGAAACTGTCAAAGATCAAACAAAGGAGAAAGGTAGCGGCAAGAAGATTTCTTCAGATTATGAGGATGTTGGCACGAGGGTAATTAAAATTGCAGTATACTGTATCCTGAAAATTTAATAGTTTTAATATATTTAATTTTTTTAATACTTAAAAATTTTAATTTAATTTTTCCATAGCTGTTCCTATTAAAAAAAACCTTGGTTTGGTTAGTAATATAACACATATTAAAGTCAATAGCTTTGTGAGAAATTATTATGCTTAAAAGAATTATAAAAAAATTAGTGGTTATTTAATTGTAATGAAATTTTTGAATTTATATTTATTTTATATCTGATGCATAAAATAATAGAAATTACTAATTTACTTTATCGAGTTTTGTTGGATAAATTTCTTGACATCTTAAATGCAATGGATTTTATATTAACTACTAAAGTATTGCTTTGAACTTTGAGAAATACCGAATTTGATCTTTTCCTTGTAAATGCGCAATCTGTTTACACAAAATATGAGATTGATATACCACGTATGAATATTTTGTATAAAAAAAGCTATAGGTCGTTTATATCAACAACAAGGTTCAGTGACAGTTTACCATCATTATCATTATGATATATTTAACCTAACAATAGATTTTCAGTTGAAAAATTAAATTCTAAATTCAGTAATGGAACAATGAAACTTCTCGTACTTAGCTCTGCTTTAAAATCTACAGACAAATTTAAATTATTTAAAGCTGATGCTATTTACAATCTTGCTAAGAAATTTTATCTTAAAGATTTCAATGAATAAAAGATGTATTATTTGAAATATCAGCTAGAGTATTATCAGATTGATATGATTCATCATGAGAGCTTTTAGAATATATCTATCATTTCTAAATTATATCAAGAATTAACTGAAATAAATAAGTCGCAACACTATCATTTGATTGACAAGTTGATTCGTCTTGTTTTGACTTTGCATGTTTCCACTGTCACTACAAAGTGAGCATTTTCGATTGTCACTACAAAGTGAGCATTTTCGACTATAAAACATGTTAAAACCATGCTTTGTAATAAAATAAAAAAGAAGTTTTTAGCAGATTTTATAATGATTTACATTGAACGAGAGCTTGTTGTAGATATTGATTCAAATTTGATCATATATGAATTATATTCTACAAAACATTAAATGGTACAACTTTGATAGTATAATTTATTTTTATTTTTATTTTGAATTTTATGTGCTTTAATTTACACACACACACACACACATACACACTGTGTTATGTATTTGAATTGAAACTTTATTGTTAATTTGATAAATTTATATATCGAAATTAATAATTAATATTAAAAAATAATTTATATATATTTATATCATAGCCTATGACAAAAAAAATTCTCGTCCCCAATTACGGGGATTGTAAGTTTGATTTTCAAGGGCGGAAAAATAGATTAATATTGGGATGTTAATTATATAGTTACATGAGTGAATTGTTGAGGGTTTTGAAATTGTTTTTAAAATTGCAATAAATAAGAAAAGCTTAAAGAGTATTAATCAATATAACCATTTTCAATAGTATAAAATTGAAATTGGTGAGAAAAGTTTATTAATTTTAGAATAGCAATAAATTGAAGTTTACTAGTTGATAATTAAACTGGTGTGTCAATGACACAAACAAACATGATTGCAAGAAAAATATATATGTAAATGCATATCTACTTCCATTATTTTTCGACATAGTTGTATCTTTATTGACGCAGATGAAAGTGACATAAAAAATAACAAGTATAAAAATACAAGATTATACTAAAAAAAATGATATAAAAATTTTAATTCAAAATTTTATTACTTGGTATTTTCTCTTCAAGTAATCTATCTCTTTAAAACATTCACCACTTCTTAAATAAATCTAATAACTTAATTAACCAACAACGAAACTCGAAAATAAAGTAGAAATAATAAAAATCATAAACAAATTAGGAAAAAAAATTCTAAATAGAATTGAAAAAATAATATATGAGTTTTAATCCAAATAAAAAAAAACCATAAACCAAATAGGAAAATATAACAAATTTCAAACAATAACTTATAAGCATTATTGAAAAATCTTTCCAATCTTCAATTGTTGTGAAATTTTACCCATTAAAAACAGGATCCTAAAATGTCTTAGTAAACTTTGAACTTGATCCAACAATAAAGTAAAAAATTATGTTTAATAACATAAAGTTGCATAGTAGGGAAAAAAAACTTGTTGCATTAGTTTATCCAGGTTAAAAAGAAATTGCCCTTATATTTAAACTATTCTTGCCCCTTGTGGATATCCAATCAAGACTCTTCACTTTAATTTTTTCTTCTCTCCAAATATATATCAATTTTACACATCTACCTTAGTTCTTTCATCTTCAAATTTGATTAAGAAACAACAATTGACAAAATATTTTTCTTCCATTAGCTTTTATAGTAATAAATTGCAAATCTCAAACTCATTTGATACACTTATATTGTTCTATATTTTTAGAACCTTATTTGTTGTTTTTTATACATATTTTATGTTTTACGATAATTTATTAATTTATTTTATGCTTAACAATGTTACGCACCAAAGTGTAAAAAGAAATCAATTAAAGCATTTTTAGCACAATTTCAAGTAATGAGCTAGAAATAACACATTAAGACAAGTCATTAAAGGTAATAAGTGCAAATCCTAATTGCATTAGGAATCGAACTTGAAAAAGGAATTCTAGAAGGATTAAGATTGGTCAAAGCAAATATTCTAAATTGGACCTTCGTGTACTCTTTAGATCATATCTGAAGCTAAAAATGGAATTTTGATGTTATTCAAGTTGGAATGAAAATTAGACGCCTCAAGTTTTTCGTGTATATATAGGCCTAATAAATCATCTAGACAAGAAACAACAACATGTTTGAAATCAAATATGAAATCTGTGAGCAAACTAGCACAAGTCTAGCTCATCTTTCCATATTGAGATGATGACATGGCATCTCATCAATGATTGAGAAATCTCTCTAAAAGATGGAAGTCTATGCATAAGTCATTAGAGTCAAATTAATGTAAAGAAAACTTAAAGTAATTTGATTAGGAATTAGTTATTAACTATGAAATTTCTTTATCTTCTCAATTCCATAAATAACAAATCCTAACCTCTAAAAAAAAAGGGATCACTTTTAGAATATAGGAGAAAGGAAGTTCTATTATTCTTTTATGAATTTGCGAGAAGCATAGTTTTTAATTTTAAGATGTTAGTACTCTTAGATTTTAAATTATTATAGGGATTTATGCTTAAAATTTTTCTATATCTGATTGTGCTATATAAATATTTTATGTAATAATTTTATTTGAGCAAATAAGTGCAAATACATGATCACTCTTCTCAAGATCTTGTAATATTTTTTTTTCATATTTGCTAATCGACGAGATAACTTTTCAACTTGATTTTGTATGTTTATTATATCCAATTAATGGGTTAGTTTTATGATTTTTATTTACATGTCTTCCATCACCAACTCCTAAACATTTTTCTCCCGATTAGAAATCTCCTCAACTTTTCTTACATGAACACATCTACTCTACAACCTTTTTTATCCATGATTATTTAGCAGCATACAACAAATAAAATACTTGAAATTATAACACATATCAAGCAATAACCTGGGATTGCTAGGCTCTGATACCAATTGATGTAGATAGAATCAACACAAGAAAGATAGTAAGTATAAGAACATAAAGTGACATGACCAAAAAATTGATATCTTCTCCCAAGTGCAAGAGTGTCAAAGTAATAAATAACCTGGCAAGACCGGGGTCGAACCATAGGGAAGTTAATTGTATAAATTATAGATAACAATAACACAACAACAACAATAATAATAGTAATAATACTACTAATAATAGTAATAGTAATAATACTAGTAATAATAGTAATAGTAATAATAATACTAATAATAGTAGTAGTAGTAGTAGTAATAAAGAAGTTGATGAGAACTTCGAGATGAAATATCAATGTAAGGATTAAACAATGAAAACAACAAAGATCAAGGTTAGAGGATCCACTAATGATATTTCAAACAAGTATAGTATAAACTCTTATTACTCAAATGGAAACCATACATAAAGAAAAGTTCTAATCAGATTATAAATTGTTAATATGATTACATTAGTTATCTTATTCGATTAAAGTTAATACTTGTAAATGTTGTTAGACATTTATGATTATAACTTATGTTAACAACAAATCAAATTCTTTTCATAACTCTGGTGTCGGTTATACCATACAGTATGGGCTATGAAAATGCTAAGTATTTGTTGTACCAAGTGTTATACAACATAAATCTAGATTAATTATTTAACAAGTA